GCAATAAAAATAAATATAAAGCAACTATTTACTGGATTGAATAGACATTTCAAATGTGTTAGTAATATAAACAATCCAAAACTTAGTAATAAACATTTCAAATGGATTGAAAACCTTCATGGTTACATGATGGGGACATCAGATCAGCGTGGAAGGTTTATCAGAGACGTGGCCGCCGATCTACGGCCACGATCGAGTCCTTGTATTTCTGAGTCATGATTGTATTTATTTTATTTATGCATTTTCTTATTTTCTTAGGTGTCGTTATTATTTTCCTTTGTACCCCTTTCATGGGAGTGGTCGCATGTAAGCCCAAAGGGCAAGTTGGTCTTTTATTTTCTTGAGTCTTTGTACCCGGCTATTTATAGCCTCATTTCCTTTGTTTTGGGTTAATGGATGATTATTAAGATTTTTTCCTACACTTGTGTTTGAGAGTTTTTTTTTAGAGTTCTTGGAGAGCTTTGGAGAGATCCCTTGGAGAGGGAGATTGGTGTATCACCCACCAACCTTGGAGACGGCCGGGTTCGTGGTTTTATCTTCTTTACCTTACTTCTCCATCATAGTTTCCTTCCACCCACCAAAACACCACCTACACCTCCACCCATGCCGCCGACTCCATCCACTTAGCCGCCGCCCCCTCCCACTCCTTCCTTCCCTCAAAATATTGCTTAATTTAGGTGGACATATTTTGGGCTGATTTCAAATTCAACATCATGTATTTTGAAATTTGAAATCTTTCCTAATTTATGAAAGCTATTTTTTGAAAGTTCATAATTAAAACTTATTTGAATTTAAAATTCAAATAGGATTTTAAAACCCCTTTCCTAATATTTAAATCCAAATCAATCAACATTAATTGCTCCCCACAAATCCCTCCCTCATCCTTGGATGCTGCCGACCATCATATGAGCAAACTCGGGATTTATTTCCTAATTACCTGTTAAGTACTTTTAGAAATAATTCAACTTATTTCTGTTGCTCTTGGCCGAAATATCCAAAATCAAACCTGCTTTATTTCTTTCCTATTCCACGTTTGGGTTTTGGAAAGAAATTCCCTGAGCCGATTTTTTTTTTCTTCAAGTCCACCTCTTTAATATTTCCTATATTCTCATTATGATTTAGGAAACAAATTTCTAAATTTCTCCTCTCACCCGTAACAGCCAACCTTCCTATTGGGATCTCCTTAGAAATTCCTTCATAGTGCTTGATCTCCTCGAGAGAAGAGTTGGAAGCCAATACCTGCTGCTGGCTGAATTTTCCACGGACCCTCTTGGCTCTTCTCTACTAAATTTTCATAATCTACTGACAAGAATCTGAAACCAATTTCATATTCCAGCATTTGGCCCTTTCCCTCCCACAAAGCAAGATAAGCTTCTTTCTTCACAAGACATCTGAGTACATCATCAAGGAGAACGAGATTGAACATACTATTGAAGAGGACGTGGATGGCATCTTGTGCGTTCTAACGGAAGCCATCAACGAGCATGTAGAAAGCCTTGAGTGGAAGATTTCCACATCCCTTTGGCAAAGGTTTCTTTTCTCACTTGTGTCTTATTTCTTGGAGGTCTAAATTCTCGTTGGCTTGATTGTAATCGCAAAGACTCATCCAAGTGCTCTTGCTAAGCCTAGCAAATTCATAGGAATTGAGCGTGCTTTCTATGCATCCTAAATCTCGTTGTTAGATTAGGGATTAACTTGAAAACTACTATTCTGTATTGCTTTTATTTTCTCAATTATTTTGATAGCTCAAACTCGAAGCATGTGATTTAAGCCTACGCAATTGATCCACTCATTTGTTTTAATCGTCGTTTGAAAATTGCTTGTAATTTTGTTTCGAAATTGTTCTAATCCACTAGTTGTGCAATGCCCACATGAATCCATGAGCATGTCATCTAAATAGTCCTGCATCATTACACCTATGTTCTAAATCATACAGCTAATGATGCGGACATCCGATCATGAAGATTTTCAAAGGAGGAGACGACGATCGAGCCTAGATCATTCCACCTTATCAAAATTTATTATTCGTAATTTTTCATTTTTACCCTTATTTAAGAGGGTCGTCCTATGTAAGCCCTAGGGGCATATATGTCTTGTTTAGTTTTTTAGGCCTATATATAGAGGCACTTGCTTGTGTAATGTAATGATGAATTATTAAGAAAAGAAATTTTATTTGCACTTGTGTTCTTCGGAGAGAACTTGGTTGAGATTCCTATGGGAGGGAATCGGAGTTTCCACCAGCCGCATAATGGGTCCGGGCTCGTGGCGTGAAGTCCATTGGAGAAGGGCAACGCACTACCTGTCAGCTGCAGGATGTGTCCGGACTCACGGTTGTATCTTTCTTTCCCTAAATCCTTTTCTCCTCTCCTCTCTCCACCCCAAGCCGCCGGCCTAAGGCGTCACCAAATTCCTTACTGTCGGGCCACATAATCCTCCCACACCCACCAACCTCAACATACCGCCACATCTCCAAATCAGCCCCTTAAAGTCCAACTAACCGCCGGCCCATCTCCACCACCCCTAGCCAAGCCGCCGGTTACCATCCCCCTCCCTTGCCTCCAATTCTCCAATCTCCACTTGAATAATTTCCTTTCTTGCTTAACTTCTTTGGGAAAGTCATTTAATTTTAAATCAATTAATTCAAATTTGAAATTTGAATCCTTTCCTAAAATAGAATCCTATTTTAGGAAAGTTTCTAAAATCAAATTTAAAATTAATTTGATTTGGATTGGACATTAAATCTCATCCTAATTAGTAAATCCTAATTAGGAAAGTGAATTCGGCCCCCCTCCAAAATCCCATGAATTTTAAATTTCAAACTCCTCTTAATCGCTTTCCTAAAATAGTTTCTTATTGATTAGGAAAGTTTCCTATTTAAATTCAAATCATTATTTGAATTTAAATACTTCTTAAATGATGAATTAGTTTAGGAAATTTCTTTCCTTTGAATAAAATCTGAAATCAAATTTTAAATCTGATTTCCAATCAATAATTAAAGACATGGGTCCACCTACATTGAACCTAGACTCCCTCTCTCTCCCCTCTTTGGCCGGCCCCCTCCCCCTTCCCCATTTAATTAATTAGCTCATTAATATCACCCCAATCAAGCCCTTAATTCCTCTAATCAAATCCAATTTGAGCATGAAGGGAGTTACCAAAATTATGAAATCTATTTTTGGAAACTTCCTAATTTGATTCCTATTTAAATTTTAAATTAAGAGAGGATTAATTACTTCTTTCCAAACTTAATTTATTATTTTAAGTAGGCATTAAATTCCTCTTTAATTCCCCCCCCACCGTTCTACATCCCCCCCCCCCCCCACCGTTCTACATCAGCTAACATTCACAATAAACCAATAGATATATTATCTCAAGTTCATACTTGTCAATAGCAAATAATACACCATAACGCAAAGAGCTCACAATGCCATAATGCAATGTGCACGCTATTTGTAGCACATAAGCAAGTATTATGAGAGCATTTATTGCATCAAATGTATGTCGATATTTATTGCATCAGTCAATTTCCATTTGCTCTGTAATTCCGAATTTAAAAGCAACTATTGTTTTACATGCTTTATTCAACTCATTATTATTATTATACTAGGGTGACTCTAAACATGTGTTCATAGATAGCCTTTATTCTCTTCATACTAGGGTGACTCTAATAACGTTAATACTTAATCAGTCTTCAATAACTAAAGGGATGTTCTAAGCATGCCGACAACATCAAAGTCACATGATATCTCGGTGATTGCATTAACCGCCTTTCAATGATAGTTTGAAAGCAATTCTCAAGCTACATCTTGATGCAATTGCTAGCGAGAAAGAAATGGCTTCATATATCCAAACCAAAATTCAATGGAATCAGGAGGGACCTCCTGCCAGGCTAAAGATCAACAACAAAAGGATGATCTTTAAAACCCGATCAGATTGAAACAATTGAGTCAAACCAAAGATCAATGGCCATTCGAGGTTTTACATGCATTTTTTTTAACATACTTTCATTATATTTTCTTTTATTTTCCAACTTTTTCTGATGGTTATGAAAACCAAGGAGTGCAACCAATTATCCTCTAATGGGAGGCTAGATATTAGATTCACTAATGACCACAATGATAACCATTAGTTAGCGATTCAAGAGACATCATTAAAATGTTTATCATGCATAGCGAACAAACAGTCACTCCCTATGTCCGAACCAAAGATCAACCAAGGAAATGCCTGATGTCAAACCAAAGACCAACAGTAGAGGGGTGGGCTTCAAAATCAGATATCAACGATGCAAGGTCATCAATTTAGTCGGACAAAAGATTGATAACTCTTCAGCCACCTTCATGCTTTTTGCATATAAGGGAATTATGAAGAGAGATGATTAAAATTATAGACGTATTTGTGCATGAGGAAATTGTTGAGCCTGAATCACATGGTGAAAAGTTATGTAAGAACCTTGATGATCGATATGAAAGACATGTTTATAATTCATGATATAGTCCTATAATGATTAATTGGTTAAAGGTTATATGAAGGATCACAATAAATGATAAAGACTTGCACTGATAATATGGGTGTACTAAACAACGTGAGAAGATTACAAAGAAATATTATTTTTTAAAACATAAAAATAACATGAAGTATAATTGTATAAATGCTTGCACTGCATAAAGTAAACATCTCAAATAGCACTCAAAAGAATAAACGGAAAAGTATCCCTAAAACCAATCCAAGTAGTTAAGATAGAATTAATGATGATAGCAATTTAATGGATCTTTAACCTTTCAGTCTATTTAGCCTCAATTCTGTTTAAATTTTAGAAATGATAGCTTAGCATTCAGCATCAAATGGCACCAGAATTTCATTCCATTTGAAAAACCATGACATGATCTTCCAAAATGTCTTCGATCGATACTAATATATGACTGTAATTGGAGTAAAAAAGAATAAATATACGTATGTAGCACTTTTTTTAAAGCAAAAAAAGAGTGAATAATAATCAATACCTTGTGGTGAGTTTCAAAAAATCGTATCACTTCCTCCATATGGTTACGATAAAATCCCTGCAAATTATACAGATCATCAAATCACCTATTACTCAGTAACTTAGGTTTTGTTTGGGATAATTTTTTTACTGCTTCCTAAAGCAACTTTTTAGCACAAAAGATTTTTGAAAGAAATAAAAAAATAATGATCAAAAGCTATCCCAAACAAAGCCTTAATATATGAGTTCAACACCAAGCAACTTTCATTACCTCAACATAGCCAAAAAACCCTGAACTCATATCACCCGCAGGGAAACCCATAGCAATTATATTTTCTGTGATATAAGTCAAATCCAAATCAAATCCACCTTCCTGAGAAAATTTACAAAAAATGGATGTATTAGAGATGCATGATCCACTAGCATTTATTTCTTTTTCAATCATATTTAATGCATTGTATTTTAATGTTCATCACCATCACTTTGGACTCCAAAGATACGTTTCCTCTGGTAATTGATAGACAATCACATTACAATAAGAGCAACAGAATTTCTAACATAAATGGATCGGTACAACAATACTAAATTATATCCAACATAATTACCTTGCATCCTGCGCTAAGGAAAGAAACAAGACAGCTTTTCCGTTATAACCTTCAATAAATTACTCTAAATGAAATTCCATAGGATGTTGAAGCAATACAAAGTTAGAAATTAGGAATGGCAGTAAACAGAAGTCTTTTAAGAAATAACTGTCAAGAACTTAAATGCTTATCAATAAAACCACCAAACGGTCTATTGAAGTAAGCAAGAACTGCCTTTATTATAGTCTTAAAATAAAATATTAGGTATGAGAACGTAAAGTAAATGCAAAGGTAGCCAGTATATTGTCAAAAATGTTATCATGTTACTAATATAAATTCTCTTAGTTTGTGAATTAGAAATGGGATGAAACCAAGGCAGTTCAATAGGGCCAAGTCAAAACGTTTTAAGTTGTTAGCAAATCCAAAGAAGGCATACACGTATATGAATCTTGTTTGGAGGATAGTGCATCATTTAATGAGCATGCATTTCTTTAAGGAGCACTTTATGACCCCGTGTACAATCAATCGAGAACTAAAGAAATTCACATTAACAGCAAACAGAAAAAAAGTTTATGAAATCCACAAAAAATTGTGAAGCTCTCTGAAACAGCAAAAAAAATGAAGCATAGGCATTTTGACTGGCATGGCTTCCATATGCCCTTTTAAGTATCAATGATCGCCTTAATTTCTCTTTCGCACTTCATAGACACACCTCAGGTATGAATTCAATAATTTCTTATATTTAAACCTAAATATGAACAGTTGCAGAAATTTTACACTCTCACATGCATTTTATTGAATAGTTTTAATGCATGTGTGCACTGCAAATAAATAATTGTCCTATCCTTACTATGTTGTCCCCGTTTACAAGATCTATGATCTATCATGTCACTATGTTTGTTTCCTGTGTTCTTGACTATGCTTTTAGCAATATATATATATATATATATATATAATTGAAGACAAGGACAAGGTAGTAAGATTAAGAAGGTAGATCAAAAAGGACAGAATAATTTTATAGAACCGGCTAACACCCACTTAAGAGAAATAGTTGATCAGAATGATTTTGAACCGAATAAATTATTGGTAGCCTGTTATGGAGCAAGTTTAAACGATAGCTTAAGATAAGAAATGGGTTAGTACATATTGCATGTCAGTTATAGTGATAAGATTAAATACTGGCTACAACCCTTGAAGAAGCCTAATCCAATGGCGCTCCCACATTAGGGGCTGCTGCAGGCCAAGGCATACATTGTACACTGATGATCCATAATCAGAGCAGATATTTAGGTGATAAGACTGTTAATGGAAGAGGTACTTCACAAGGAAAATAAAAGTTGAAAGTAACGTGGTATATAACATGTATTATAACGATGTCCAAGTGGAAGAAACATCAGACTAAGAATCCAATTGGTAGTAATACACTAATACCTGATATCTCCTTTTGTTTTGAGAGACAATGTGACGAGCCTTCACTTGTACAGCCTTGACCGCATTTTTTGACGAGTCAACAAATCCTTTAGTCAAAGAGCCAAAAACACCTTGTTGAGTAGGCGTTGGGGAACCCTCAGCATTATCATCTTTCTGAGTTGATTTGGGAGATAAACGTAGTCCCAATCCACTCGTAAAACGAGCAAATGTTGACTTTCCTGCATTTCCTGTTTGAGGGTCTTCTTGGACCGCAGCCTGTGGTATCTTCAAGTTTTTGGCCCAGGAGGTGATTCCAGAGGAGGACAAAAGCGACGGTGATTCTCGTCTGTCAGAATGCTGACTGTCATTTGAAACTGGACGTGAAGGAGATGAATTGGATTGTGATGACGCCATAGTAAACAGAACAGTAACAACTCAAGAATATTTGTAAAAATCTGCCAATGTGCCGAGCAATGTGAATGTACTTCTATAATGCCCCAGGTTCTGCAAGATGGATAATGCTAGTGTTTAGAGAATAACCCCACATCTAAATATAATATGTAATTTACTGAGCAAAATTGAGAATATGAGATGGGCATTCAGAGATTATCCAAACATGAGCAAAAAAACTTCCAAGCAATGAAAGATAAATTCCCATGATTCAGCTTCATTCCACATTGGTAAAAACTCAAAAAGCTGCCTAAATTGTTATTTTGCAGTACAAATAATATATTAAGCTTTCAACATTACAGATTCAAGTCCCCATGTGGCTCATCCAGTTTCAAGGGAAAAACATCTTTAAAACAATGCCGAAACTATTGGATCCAATTTTAATTTAACAGATGGAACAGACTATAATGAATACTTTGCACCTGGTACACAATCACATGCAATTATCATTTCTGGAGAATTTGAAAGTAATTTAGCTCAAAATTGAAATCAGATATGGAGTAGAAGATGTTTTATTCAGGAAATAGAAACTCGCAGAAGCATTCAAACCACTGGAGGTCCAAAGGTAGAAGAAACCAGGCACCACTGATGTAACCAAGTTAGGATGAAAGAAAACATGGTTTTCAGGAGAAGGAGAAACTAAGGCACTATATGAGTTGGAAGTTCAAAGGCAGAAGTCCCTAAGGTACATCTATGTAACCGGAAGGAAAGACGAGAAACATTTCCTAATGCCTTCCCTCCCTCTAAGGGATGTCATCAATGTCTCGGGAATGCTCAGATATATTGAAAAAACAGTGACCATAAAGAATTTAGAGAAGAGGAAAGGAATGACTCAAAAGGACTCATATTAAAAGTAGGACCATTAAAAATAGTAGAAAAGGAAAAGTGAAGTAAATACTAATCAAAGCATTTAGCATTTTGGATTGCACTCAAGCTGCTCAGATATATTGAAAAAACAGTGACCATAAAGAATTTAGAGAAGAGGAAAGGAATGACTCAAGTACTCATATAAAAAGTAGGACCATTAAAAATAGTAGAAAAGGAAAAGTGAAGTAAATACTAATCAAAGCATTTAGCATTTTGGAGTGCACTCAAGCTTTCTTTTTGAGCGCCAAACAGCTGCATATAAGTAACAAACCATGCAGATAGCATAGGGCAAAGATAATTATTGAATTGAAGGGTTTTGATTGAATAGTTTTCTCAAACTGGGAATTTTAGTGAAGGAGTGGAGTTTGAGCATGTCTTTTATACAACCTGTTTAAATAAATGGCATATAAAGCACTTAGTTTCCTTCAATTACACAACTAACCATATTTATTTCATTAAGGAAGCTGCCCATTAACAAATGAACTCATAAAGCACATGCATCATCTATATATTTGCTAAGTTACTTTATATACACAAAATGATAGAATGTAGATTTTTTTAAGAGGCATAAAGAGGAAAAAGACATAATTATAACAAAATTGTAATGAATGGTGATGCATTTAGATTTTTCTGCTTAATTTTTGTTATGAACAATATTTGTTATATTTTCTATTTTTTTTGTTTTTATGCTATCCTATGATGGTGGTAAATCCAATGATCATGGTAGGAAGACTTGCTCTAATTTGTTTACATCAAATGGGGAAAATTTATGGTGCTGATTTTTGTCTTCCCTGCCAGCAATAAAGCAAATCCCATTGGATGAAAGAGATGGCTAATGGAAATCTCAGCCAGTAGGTTCTAAAACTGCATTGTAAACCATTTTACAACGACAATGGAATACCAGAAGAACTTTTCTGCAGGTGTAACTATAGTCAAGTTATTTTAGAATGCTATAACTAAAATTAGTCAAATATTTTTATGTACATGATAGAAATCATTCAGACTGTATTCAAGGCATTATACTAGATAGAATGAAATTTTCTTTAGTATGCAAGAATATCAAGAAAGCAAGTTCAACCAAAAACATTTGAAAATGAGAACTTGTTGACTACTGTAAATTTTTTATGCTTTTCACAAAGCATATAATAAAATAGCACGGACTTACCATGACTCATAATAAACCAACTTAACAAATATACAAGAATAACGTTGTAAAAAGTACAATCAGAAAGTACTAGGCAAGGATAAAGCCTAGTTGTTTCCTCCTATTATTCCATAGTGATCAATTATACAAACCTCATCATAAGCTCAAATGCACCACCATACAATATTTACCTATACAGCAAAAACAACTGTTGAACATTCAAAAAGCCAGTGAAAAAGATATAAGGAGATGAGACTCCACTACCACCCCAAAAGCAACTAAAATTTTGGACAATAAAAATCATGACCCCAGAAATAAATAGCACAAGAATAAATATAAGAAAAAAAAATGACAGCATCAGTAAGAAAAGGAGAATGGTGTCAATTCAATCACCTCATAATCACTCACCACTGCTTCCTTTAAGAAAGAAGGGGGAGACAATGTCAAACTATCACGACAACAACATCATTCAAACAGAAAAGAAGTTCATACAATAGGGCATATAAATCATGAGGTTTTTCACCTATCTCTCCCAGGGGTGAGATTAAGCTTATAGCTGGTTAACTGCTCTCCCCAATTAAAGGGTCAGTAAATTAACAAGTAATTAATAGTGACTCGGCCATTACTTAATTTGTATTACATTATTTTATCAATAGCAACAATCTCAATTTAAGCATATAATTAGAGTTCTGACCATCAAACTTTCAGCTTTAACAAAAACTTAATTAAAGAAATTGCAGATTAACTATTAATGAATCATAGATGTTAATAAACTAATTAAGGCTACTTAAATATTCAATTAATATACTAATGTATTATTTTGTGGTTGAAATATCCCAAATTAATGGTCTTATCACTATTTATCAAAAATGATTAGAAGCTTATCATCAAGAACTCAACTTAATTAGTTCAATTAGTGGATTAACTTTCACTATCATCATTATTATTAGCAATATCCCAACTATTTGGGGTCACGTACTAATCATGAGATAAATATACCCTTAGTCCAAAAGCCCATTCCACTCCAAACAAATTGACAGAATATATATCTAACAATATAATCCATTCCTACCAAAAAGACAAACTCCCATTAAATTCTAAGTTTTTAATCTTCTAGGTTAACTTTCAAGATAAACGGATTCCACTTGACAATTTAGGAGCAGCTATGTCTCAAAAGGCAGCATAGCAAAAAATTAAGGTATGACTATCACTAATGTCAAAGGTTGAGATAAGGCAGAATGAGAAAATGCTGCTTGTTGGTAGAGTAAATTAGGCCCCATGATGGAGCCCAAATGAAGGAGATGCATGAACATGTTCCTCATAGAACAAAAGAGACTAAGATGCTATGATAATAGGTCCTTAATGATACTAGTAGAAACAACTTCATGAGCATCTGCCCCACTCAATTCGAAGGGAAAAAATAATCTTATGATTCAAAGCAACTAGAACACAAATTGCAAGATAAGGGGTATCACACATGCAAGCTTAATTTGTTTTCTTCAAATTCTAAGTTTTGGATATTGTCAGCTAAAGAACCAATTGGTAACAAGTCATCACATACACTTAACTAAGAAAGATGGAAGCCATATGTTCCTTGTTTGATTATTCTATATCAGATTTCAGAAGTATAGCTATCTAGTTAGAAACTAGTATATGGAATATAAAATGGGTCCATCAAAGCAAAGGTTGTAGTTTTTAAATGGCATTACCAGGAAAAGAGAGAGCATCTGTGAACTACACATTAGCGTTTGAACAAATAATCAATGGAGATAGAAGAAATACATAAGATCAAACGTAGCTAAAATGCTAGCAATGAGAGGGATGTAACTGAATGTACTCTTAACAATAACTCAATTGAAGATTGGGATCGGAGCAACTTCTGGGGAGGGAAATGTGTGGCTTGAAATGGATGTTTAAAGTAAAACAGGAGAATTCCGTCTCTTCAATGAGTTAATGATAAATATCATATCAAGAAATAGCATTTTTTCATAACAGTTTTCGAGATGATCAGCTCAGCTACGTTTTCTAGTTGATTCGCTCCCACCCACCACAAATGCTCCTTCAACTCGCATATAATTCAATACACCTAAGCTTCGAGATACAAAGCAATCTGAAAATACTTACTTTTAGAAGATTCTCAGATCTTTAAACTATATGAAAGAAAAGCAAACCTTGCATCCCGACAACGGAGTTTCAAATCTTCAATGCGCACGCCTCCGCAAAGTCGACAAGATTCTTGCACTAGCCTCAAAGCAATAAAAACCCTGAAGTAGTCGGCCCCAACCGATAAATTTGAGAATCAACAAAAAATTACACACATTGCGTACTCGAGTCAATAATGTTCGAAAGAAAGGCTTAAAAGCCCAAAGAAACCAATAAAGCCTTGCTAATTGAAGCGTGAAAACGAAATAAGAAGACGAATTTGGGAACAAACCATCGGAAGAAGGCGAAACCCTAGTTTGAAGATGGATTCGGAAACGGATCTCATGCGATCGAAAATACCCAATTAATTGACATATAATAAAAAATCATAACTTACGAGCATAATTAGAAAATGATAAGAAAATCTCAGCAGCACGGATGAGACTGGATATCTTTAGGGGCTGTTTGGTAGCAGGATTTAGACCGGATTTGAGGCGGATTTGAGCGAAATCCAGCGAAACGGCCTAAAATGCAAGACCAAATCTCACGGTAAATGAAAGCCGCGGTAGACGGAAATTCCCTCTTTTCGTGGTAAATCCCGGATTTACGAAATCCTTTGGTTCGTCGGATTTACGGGATCTGGCCGAAGAAGCGCGCGAAAGGGAGAAAGTTGCCTTCACAGCAAGCGAGCTCCCGTTGTTGCTTCCTAATTCCGCTCAAACAACGTCGTAACTTCCGATCCAACAGGAAGGGACGTCTAAGGAGCGAAGTCGAACAGCGACGAAGAAGAACTCGTGCAAAACTACACTCAGGAACGAAGCCAGATGAAACAAAGTAGGGAAAGGCTAAACCTAGGCTCCTACTAGTTATTATTAGAAACAAGTGAAACTAATTAAATAATTAATAAAATTATTAGTTAAATACTTAGCTATTTTGAAATAATTAATAAAATTTATTAATTATTTAAATATTATTTAATTGGGGTTTTTACATACATAACACTTAAAACTTACCTATTTACTTATATAACACCTAAACTTTGGTATTTACTATTTAGCCACCCAAAACACTATTAGGTAATCGAAATTACCACTCCCGTTACCCCTCCGTTACGTTTTTCTCCCAACATTGTCTTTTGCGCGGGAATCATTCCAATCGAGCGCCAGCTTTTCCGATCCTCTCCACACCGCAGCTCGTTCTCTCCACGCCTATCATACTGAAAATGAGGGTTCAGAAAATAAGCTGCTGAATGTATCCCTTGTCTTAGTTGATTATCCCACTTCTTTTGATGATACTAGTGAAAGGCTTGTACATTCTTTTATTATTTCTAAACATAATCTTTATTGCTTTTCTAGCTCTGAACATACCATCATAAAGGTATTCAAGAGATGGCTTTTCATCTGCATAAACAATTCTTAACAACCTAATTAGGGGCCCTGATAATTTAGAAATTATGAAGCTGTCATTCCAAAATTTTGCATCCAAAATAATTGAGGCTGCCTCTTTCTCCTTCATTGTCTTACTTAGCTTTGAATCAATGTAAGCCTTGGTGGTGATGAATGCTTGCAAATCATGTTTATGATCATGGACACTTCTTAAGGTAATGAATGTTGTTGCAAATCTAGTTACTCCTGGCCTTATAATTTCAGTCCAACATTTCCTTTTTCTTAATCAGGCCAATATAAAAGCATGGTTATAAATAAAAAGTGTAACCTTTGAAGCTTTCTAGCTAGTTCTGTAATATAAGGCATGCTTCCAATATCTTTCAGAATGAGATTAATGCAATGAGCTGCATAAGGTGACCAATAGATATTTCCATATTTTTCATGCAATAACTCACCAGCTTTCTTATAATTTCATTATCAGTTATAAAATGAACTATATTCTCCGGACCAACCCATTCAACGATATCAGTGAATAATAAGCACAATGTTGTGGCATCTTTGATGACATCAGATGCATCTACTGATTTTAAAAATGAAATTCCTCGAGGACAATAAACAAGAAAATTTATTATTGTCCTATTTCTTGTATCTGTCCAACCATCAATCATCAATGTACAACCAGTTTCTTTCCATATTTTTCTATAAGATTCAATTAGCAATTTACATTCCTCTTTCGCATCCCATAATAGATTCACTCTTAATCTGTGGTAAGACGGTAATTTGTATCCAGGTCCTATTGCAGCAACTGCATCTATAGCCTTTTGTGCAAAAGGTGAGTTGATGGCATTGAATGGAATGCAACTATCATAAAACCATCTAGCAATTGCTAAATCTGCACAGTTCACTGCCTCCTTAGATGCCATCACACTTTTTAAGAAAGGTTGAGATCCCGGTTTTGTTCTAGGTGCAAAAAAATTATCAATTTCATCAATTTTTCTCTTTCCTTTATCCATTCCTTTACCATGTATATCTGAACTTTGTGATTTCGTGACTGAACATGAGCCCCTTTCTTCTTCAACTGGATCTTCACCAAGTAAATCATCAATCTGCGACAAGTCTTGTTGTGCTTGTTGTTTTTTCTTTGATATCTCATTCAAATTTTGTTGCATCTGATGTCATATGTCATGTGTCACCTTCTTACAAGAAGCAATGTCCCTTTAATCCCTGCTAGATGTTGCTTCATCCTATGAATGCCTCCTCTCTTATAAATTATTCCACAATGAAGACATTTATATTGCTTCTTACCATCAGTG